GTACGTGTAATCAGAGGAAAGCAAATAAAAAGTGATGATCCGTACCATTTCCTTAACCCGCGCCGTGCTGGGGGGGGGGCGTTTTTACGCCCCCCCCCCCTCAGGTTTTTCGCGAATATCTCAAAAACGGCGGCGCGCAGCGCCGCCGTTTTTGGTACACGTGTTCCTACATCATTTCCGCACATTTTGTGAAAATTTCAGACCTAGGCCGTTCAAGGTCAGGTCACCAGGTCACGTCAAGTGACCTTACCTCAGAAAAAGTTCAAAGGCTCGCTATAGCTACACCGACTGAACGATCACTTTGAAACTTTCAGCGATTGATATGAGTAACAGTATGTATAAAATGTTTATCTCGGATTTTTGATATCTGTGACCTAAGGTCAGGTCAATTTTGCGACCTCTCCATTATAAGTCAATGGGAGAAAATTGAAATGCGCCTCTTTTGGACGAATATCGTTCAAAACGCTCTCAAACATCGGTTCATAGGTAAACATGACACACTGAATAGGAAAAATGCACCTGTGACCCCTCTGTGTGCCCCTGAGGTCATCTCAGGTCATGAACGGTCGCCAGCAGTTTTTTGGCTATAACTTTTGATAGAGACGTGCTAGAGTGGTGAAAACACGTCAGATGTGTTCAGCTCGACGATACGGATCGACTGATATGCAACATGACCCTTTTCGGTCAGGTCATGACCTTGACCTGAGGTCATATTTTCAAAATGACCTTTCAAGGTCAACGAATAGTTCATTCGACGCGTCTCGACAAGAGGAACACGATGCTGGCAAAAGTAATGTCATGGCGCTTATGAGTCAAAAGTTATTGACGAAAAAACGTTTTTCGTAAAAACGGCTATTTTTGGAGTTTTTGCCCTCTGGAGGCTAAACCGTTGACCTGAGGTCAAATCTGAGAACATTACTCAGAAAGGTCTGTAAAAGGGCTATCGAATGCGCTTTTCCGCGGCGCTGTAGCTCTATCGGTTCCCGAGATAGCCGTTGGCAGTTTCCAAAATGTTGAAATAGTCAACATTTTACCTTTGGTGACCTCTGGTGACCTGACCTTTGACCTGACCCAAAAAATGACCGAAGTGTTTTCGTCCTTATTTTTGACGCTCTTTCGATTGCCGCTTACCGCGTGTCGCTACGTGGCCCAGGAGCCGAGTTAGACGGGGGGGGCGTGAAAACGCCCCCCCCCCCAGCACTCGGCGGAAAGTTCAGGCCACCAGCACGACGCGGGTTAATAATTAAAAATTAATTTGAAAATTTGATTCGCGCGGAGCGCGATGTCCTTTACAACATCAAAACGTATTGAAAACGCTGATCGATCGCTATGAAACCTACATATTCGGAAAGAGCATTCTTTTATGACCAATATCCACCCAAAATATTATCGAAAAGTCAATAAACTTTTGTGAAAATGACTCAAACATACGACCGTGTTTTGTTAACGTTACAGGTATTTTTCGACAAAATCCGATCGATGGCTTATGGCCGGCAGGCCATACAACTTTCGACAATAGCTATCAAAGCATGGGCTGCAATGCACCACCCGCAAAGGGGAATTCCAAACACTGAAAATAAGCGCCTACCAGTAAACAGCACATTATTGTACTAAGAATAACTCAGCTGCTACTGGGCCGATTGCGCTGAAACTTGGACTGTGGGTGGAGGGGACACTCACCTGGCGATTCATGGTCGTTTGTCACAGGTAGGGTAGATCGATTGCACGTGCGCACGTGAGGGGTCCACTTATACATCTCAAGAACGGCTGGGCCGATTTCGCTCAAATTTTGTACACTGTTGGGGACAATTTAGAAAGGTGGCTGGCACAAGTCATCTGGAGTCTCAGTTAGCGCGTGCGCACGTGCAGTGGGCCAGTTTTATATCTCAAGAACGGCTGGGCCGATTGCGCTCAAATTTGGTACGTTACTTTAACCCGCGCCCCGCTGGGTTATTCAGCCATACGCGCCCTGCTGGGGGGGGCAGATTCTGCCCCCCCCCCCTGTCTAACTTCCGAACCGATGGTCGTAGAAAGACGGGGAAAACGGCAATCGAAAGCTCTCAACGAGGCGAATCTTAAGAGCTCAAATTTTTTTGCTTAAGTAGGTCAGAGGTCAGGTCAAGGTCAGGTCAAGGGTACAAAATGCAAGTTTCTACAGTATCGGCCTTGCACCGTAATTGCCGAAGAATGGACTGAGACTGATTGCCCAAAACGTGTTCTTAGGCTACCAAGACAATATTCGTTGCATACAATATCATTCAAAGGTCAAGGTCAATGTCAGGTCAGGTCAGGTCAGGTCACCAAAAACAAAATATAGAAAAGGGCATGTGCGACACATGTTTTATGGGTCATTTTATTCATAGAATTCAATAGGCACACTCAATTAGCGATATGGACAACCTCTGGATGAATTTCAGGTCAAGGTCAGGTCAAGGTCAGGTCAAGTGGGGTCAAATTCTGAAGTTGGTTGTTAAGGCCTAAAAAGGTGTCTATCTGATGCAGTTTTTCACGGCGAGTCGATTGGTGCTATTTTTGTTTCCGTACGAGGTCGAGAACTTCCAAAAAATTCATTTTTCAAAATTTTGTGTGTCGTGACGTCATAAAATTTTGAATACCTCCCACATTTTTGAACCGATTCTTTTCAAGATTGGTATGTAGGTGCACATAGACCACTTCTCTGACATATATTCCGGTTTTTTCGATATACTCAAAATTTTGGATTTTATAATTATTTTCCCAAAAAAGTTGGTTTTTTGAAAAAATTTGGGCCAAAATCCAAAATTTTTAAAAAACCGAGATAGCCATTTGATAGACAAAGTAGAATCACGTATAACCTTTTTTGTTACGTCTTGATTCCTTTAAAAATGAAGAAGTTAGCGGCGTTTGAAATTTTGCGATTTTTCAGTCGAAAATGGCGAACATGACGTCACTAAAACGTCATTTTCTCAAAAATTTTCCGACGGATTTCGCTCAAATTTTCAGGGAATGTGTCAAATTGATGTATGATAAGGTACTGAAAGTTTGACGTCGCTGGCGTAACGCGTTTAGAAGTTATTGGCGAAAAACGGGAGGGGGGGCAGATTCTGCCCCCCCCCAGCGGGGCGCGGGTTAATCGAGTATGAGAAGGGTAACTTTGTGTTATTAGTAAGGTAGGGTATGGGTAGGTTAGGGTAGGATAGGGTGGGTTTGAGTTCGATAAAGGCAAACCATGAGAAAGGCTCTGACAACCCGCAACCAGCACCAGCATAACATGCCGTTCAAACAAATATCCAACTCCGACAAAATAAGACAAATAAAAATCATAAGTTCCCACACCCAAACTAACGCCCCCTCAAACGCATCTATCAAAACGCACAGTTATAGCGCAAAACATGCCATCTAGTATATATATATATATATATATATATATATATATATATATATATATATATATATATATATATATATATATATATATATATATATATATATGTTACAGGCAAAGTGAAAACTCGGGCATTTTGCAAAATGCCTGACCGTCCAGGCATTTTGCAAAATGCCCAGGCAGTTTGCAAACTGCCTGACCCACCAGGCATTTTGCAAACTGCCTGAACTATTTTCCCAGGCATTTTGCAAAATGCCTGACATCAAACTCGCACTAGCGACGATGTATAGGTAAGCATCATTTGTAAATGCCGCTTACAAAAGTTAATCGCTGTCAATGCGCACCAAGTGAGGGAGGGGACACTACGTTCTCCGGGTAGCGCCGCCGAGTTCAGGTCACTGAGCCCCAGCGGCCGTCGGGTGCCGAGCACCGGGCGTGGTTTCGTGGGTAAACATGCGCTCGGTACAATGATTATACTGTTTCTAAGAGCTCTTGGTGGCTTTTTGAAAATACTATGGGTGGATATTGATCAGAAAAGAATACTCTTCCAATTTACGAAAATTTGATTGCTACACGTTTAGGTACATTATCAATCGTCTCTGCCGGAACAGTTGCCCACCAGGGCAGAATACTGGACATCGCAGCTTTTATACAGGCACGGCTACAACTCCGTATATACGAAATATACGGAGACGGTCGCTCAAGTCCATTCAGCGTTGGCTCCATCTCGACAGAATTGACGCAAGACGTAGGTATACAGTAGAGATGTTAATCGGATACCAACTTTATGGTATACCGATACCAAACCGATACCAACTTGGTATTTGATATTTCAAGGCGAGTGCATTTGGTATTTTGTTGGTATTATGAATCCTCACTAATGTAAAAGAGGCTGAGAATTTGGTAAAAAGTTGGTATTTTCCTCATATTCCCAAGTCGTTTTGGTTTCGGTATTTTTCAATGGATATTGTTGGCATTTGGTTTGGTATCGGTATCACGATTTTCCGTAATTGACATCACTAGTATACAGAGTGTCACGAACTTGATACGCGGTTGGCGCGGTCTTGTCCCTCGATGCCCCTCTGAGTGCTGAATGGATGTAATTTGAACGGGTCTGGAAACAGGGCATCTCGACCAGGGCACTCGGCATCTAAATCGGTCCATCCCCCGGTATCTGAAGATTTTACCCTGAAGCTGAAGCCGCTCAACCTCAGGCTGCAACCCTGACTTACCGTCATCCATAAGTGATGCAGCTGGATTTCGACAAAACCCACCAAATCTCGACCATTCAGGACTAGAGATTCAGACTTTTCAATGATGAGGCCGTGAGGCGATATTAGCCGTTTTCACAACGGCCATCTGGTACACATTTGGTTCATATCTGGTGCAGATTAGGTGCATATTTGGTCAAATTAGGTTCAGTATGTCTCTTTGTAGCTATCAGCTAGGGTTGTTCTAATTGCTTATATGCCTCCTTTGTCATATTCAGCGAGCATCATCAGTAAAACACAAATAAATTCATAAAATAAAGATATTTGCTGTAAAAGAGATTAGGTGCAGATTTCGTCAAATTAGGTGCACTCGCCGGATAACCTTCGTGAAAACGGCTATTAGAGTGTAAGTGCCTTTCCTGACGCCTTCCTACCTACCTGCTTCCTTTTCGCGATCGGCGCGACATCTGCAGAGTAGTGTCTTTGATCGTCGCTAGATGGCACTGCTGTTGTGTTCGCCAGCTGACCGATAGTGGTGGGGTGGTGGTCAAATTCGAAGTAGATATTCGATGTGAGAACTATTTGAGTTGTTCGATCAGCTGTTTCGGTTTTTGGGACACGTATGACGTGGAAGAATGGCGGTCAGACCAGATTTTGTTGCTCTGTTCCGATGTGGCGAGTGAGGACACAAATCTTGGTAAGAAGATGTACCTTGAATGTAATATGCAGGTATTGATATGCCAAACTCGTTGAGCGCAATATGTTTTGTGTCTTTCGTGGTGGCTTGTGATAATTGCCGTGCTGGTGAACATTTGTGTATTTTGAGACAAATGTAGCGCGGAGGTATGATGGATATATTATGTTTATTTTTCTGTGTTTGACGACTGTTCTTGATTTAGTTGTTTATTTATTTGCTGGTGTTTTCGCAGATACCATTCATTCGGTCATTCATTGATTTCACCTGGCAACAATAAATTGCTGGACTGACTGGATGCGTGATCAGAGTTTCTTCGGATCGCTACGTGGGGCGGATGCAGCAATAGTATCAAGATTTTGCAAGATCAGAGCTGCATGGATTCAGGAGCTGCATGGCGGAGGTTCGCTGTCAGCCATCAGTCTGCAAGTAGTAGTAGTAGTAGTTTATTGACACAGTCTTAGGTACTAGATGGATAAAACCCAGAAGACAAGTGTCCATTAAAACAGATCATATACAAAACATATTAAAACCGTCAAACATTTCATACAGAGAACCAGCGTCCATTAAAACTATACCTAAACACCACATTAAAATCCGTCGCGTCATACGTTCTCACATGCCAGCAAAACTCTCTGAGAGTATATGGCCAAATCCTTTGGACTACTTTTCATCAAGCTTGCCAAACTATCAAAGCTCAGCATTGTAAAATTTCTCCTAAGTGGCTCAGTGATTGGGCAGTCTAAAAGTACATGCGCCTCTGTTTGCACACCGAGCCGACAGGAGCATAGCCTCTCTTCTGTTGGGATTCTAGCCCACCTCCCTGTCTCTATTCTAAGGCGGTGTGAGCATAGCCTTAGTCGTGTAAGTGCTGTACGAGCCCGTTCTGAAACATTGTTAGTATATATCGGGTGAACCGTAAAATCAGCATTAAAATCGATGTATGTTTTTCTCCTGGAAGATTCAGACCCTGTTATTTTCATGTGTATGCTTTGAAGGCTCCGCTCGCGAATGGACCCTGGTGTTTCTTTCATAATATTACCGATATATGAGCTCGCGGCTGTGTTTGCCTGCCTGTTCAGTTGCATGGCAAAGTGAGCTGGGCTGCCTACAAAATCAGATCGGCTTGTGAGCTTCCTCAGAAAGGAAATTTGAATTTCTTGGACCACTGCTTTGCCGTCTGGGGAAGCTAACTCTGCATGTACTAAATCGTTGCAGGTTTGGCTTCTTACAGATAATAATTGCTTTTGAGCCGTTAATATTGGGGAGATCACTGCTTGGAGGTTGTTGCACAACCAGCTCTCGCAGCCATACAAAACTGTGCTGCTCAAAGCACTCTCAAAAACTAATTTTTTTACTGAAAACGGAGCTTCACTGTTTTTCTTTAAAAAGGAACCGAACTTGATCAAGTGACTCCGTTTCATGTCTATGTTTGTTTTCACTTGATCAGACAATCGGGCATTCATTATTTGAGAGCCTAAATACACGTACTTTTCCACATGTCCTATAACAATGTGATCGTAATAAAACGGAACATCATCGTTGCTATTTACTGTCATAAACTTTGATTTTTCGGGATGAATCTCCATATCGATATCCTTCGCTGCCCGAATCAAAAGCGATAGTTTTTTGTCTAAAGCTTTTCTGGACGTTGCTAGGACGACTGTGTCGTCCATGAATAATAGACAATGCAGGTTTTTTAAATACGTGTCGTTACCAAATTCTTTCAAAGCCCTGATGGTGCTGTTAATGTAAAAAGTAAACATAGAGCAGCTGTTTGCCGCTCCCTGTTTTACTCCCGTAGTTGATTTGAAGCAAACGTTTCCTAACACGTTCTTGGTGTCTGTTAAACTACTCGCAATAGCTCGGAGATACCTTTTGCCACAGCCGTGATCTACTAGTTTCTGAAGAAGGGTCTTTCGATTTACCTTGTCGTAGGCTTTTACATAGTCTATGTAGGCTATATACAGCACTTGCTTTGTTTTTCTTGCATATTCAATAAGTAGCCGTAGTGTAAACAACTGTTCAGCACAGCCCTTGCCTACACAGCCTCCCGCTTGTTCATCATCAGGTCTGAACCAGCTATTGAATCGGCTGTTAAGTACACTTTCATAGATTTTTACTAGAGCCCCTTGTATGCTAATACCACGGTAATTATTTGTATCACTCGGGCTGCCTTTTTTAAAAATCGTAAAAATCTTTGCATATGACCATTGATCGGGGTATTCACCTGAGCACGACCTGTCTACCTGCCGCCTGGAGGAGGTCACAGTGAGGACAGCAGATGCTGCTCAGCCCGCAGCAGCTGCCACAGTTGAGATGGGATAATCTGATTCTCTGGGCCTGCCTGCCTTTTTTATAAGCACATTGGCCAGTGGGAGACTCAAAGTTACTAGACATAGTACATGTCATTTTGTTGAGCTGGCTTGAGTTTAATGCTTGTGTATTTTAAGTCAGCTTGTGGTGCACTGCCTCAGAGATTTGTCTTATTGTTAATTGTCAAAGGATTTCAGCTTGTGGTGCACTGCCTCAGAGATTTGTCTTATTGTTAATTGTCAAAGGACAGAGCTGGTTGTCAATTGTCTGATCTGCTCATTTGAACACATGATCTGCTCATTATGATGTTGTTCAGTGTTTGCCATTTAACCCCACCTGTTTGACTGTTTTCTGTGGATGTGACCTGCCAGTTCCTTGGTCCCAACTGGTTGCTCTGGATCTCCCATCCCTGTACACTTACCTACCTGATCTGGCACTCACACCTGACACCAGCAAGCTGGGATGGATGTAGAGAAGTTGCAGAAAGAAGAGCTGAAGGGTGAGCTTGCCAAAAGAGGAGAAGACGTGCAGGGAACCAAGGCGATTCTCAAGGAAAGGTTGCAGAAGGTTCTTCAGAAGGAACTGCTTGGGTCAGAAATGGAAGGTGGTGTGTCACACACTGAAGATGACAAGGCTGGCAGTAAGAAGGGCTCACCAGCACTGTCAAGAGCAGGCTCAAATGTGTCATCATCGGCAGCTGTAAGAGCAGAGAGAGCGATAGAACTGGCAAAACAAGCTGGATTGCTAGCAAAGAAAGAAGCACTGAAAAGGAAACATGAACTTGAGGCTCGTGAAGCTGAACTGAGGAGGCTGAAGGAGGAACTTGAAGTTGAAGCAGAAATAGAAGAGAGTAAGGCAAAGGAGGGTGTGTTGCTGCAATATGAAGAATCAGTCTTCAAGGGAGAAGACAAAATGAAGATGCTTCTCATGAAAGATGAAATCAGAACAGGACAGTTAGCTCAAGAAGAAGCTGCAGAGATAACAAGAAGTGCTGATGTTGCACAAGAGCCGACTGCACAAGATGCTACCACACAGCAAGCAAGATACCGAGAAGTTGCAAGACAGCCGACTGCAGAAGATGCTACCACACAGCAAGCAAGATACCGAGAAGTTGTAAGAGAGCCGACTGCAGAAGATGCTACCATACAGCAAGCAAGATGCCGAGAAGTTGTAAGAGAGTTGGCTCAAGAAGATGGTACGATACAAAGAAGAAGGCTGGTTGATGTCAGAGAAAGAGAGCCCGTGATACCTCAAGAAGAGATCGCGGAAGGTCGAGTGACTGTGATGGGAGATGAGCACTCAAGACCACCAAGAATCAACCCTGACCTGCAGGTGCTGAAGAGGGTAAACCTACCAGAGCTCAAGCTGAGGACCTTCGATGGGAACATTGAGACATTCAAGTCGTTCCTGCGAGCATTCAAGACCAACATCGCCTCCAAGCTCGATGACGAAGAAGAGAAGTTAATGTATCTGATGCAGTTCACAGCAGGCAAGCCAAAGGAGATCGTCTCAACATGCATTCATCTTCCACCAGAGTTGGGATATCAAGAGGCAGTGAGATTGTTGGAGCAGCGCTTCAGCAATGATGCACAGACGACTGAAGGACTCCTCAACCGCATCCTGTCGCAGGCCAGTATGCGATCTGATGACGTCAGCAGCCTGGATTCGTTCGCCATTCACCTGCGAGGGACACTCAACGCGTTGAGGAATCTGCCACATGGGACAGGCGTTGTAGATGCGAAGACAATGCGAGACATCATCGACAAGGTTCCCTTCTTGGCAGATAGATGGCGTCGTGAAGTCGATCACATCGAATGTGAAGAAAGGAGGAGACCAGACTTCACTGATCTTGTGGCGATGATTGAGAAGGAGGCAAGAATCGCTTCCAATCCCACCTATGGACGACATGTTCTGGCTTCAAGGACCACAAGACCTGCAAGAGAACCCCGATCTAAGCAAGTGAGCGCACCAGCTCTGACTGGGAAGGTAAGCATGGTGAGAACCCAACAAGATCTCTGTCTTTTCTGCCAGCAGGGTCATGAGACGGACCGATGTCCGAAGCTGGAAGTCAAGACGCATGAAGAGAAGACCAAGTTCGTAAGAGCCAGTGGGCTGTGCTTCTCCTGCATGAAGAAGGGACATCTCGCGGCAGCATGTCGTCAGAGAAGCACGTGCGCAAAATGTAACCGAAGACACCCAACCGTGCTGCACCGACCTCCGAGAGACTCGGTTGCACCTGCCAGGTCTCCAGATCCCTCAGCTGATCAACCTTCACCTCTGGGAAACCCACTTTCACCCGATGGTCCACCAGCAGCTACCGCCGGACACGCCGCTCCGAAACGAGAGAACGGAGGAAAGCTGCAAGTTGTTCCGGTGGTTGTCCTGATCAACGGAAGAAGACTGAAAACTGCAGCCTTCTTCGACACGGGCAGCACCCATTCGTTCATCACAGAGCAGCTCATCAGTGAAGCCGGCATGTCTCCTGACAGACAAACGTCCATGACGGTGTCTACCATAGTCAGCGACCAGAAGATGAGCACCAGCGTGGTGTCGGGTGTGACCATCGAGAACGAAGAGACGGGGACTCGACAGGAACTGCCGCCACTTTACACCCTCAACACAATCCCTGTAACGGAGGATGACATTCCCACAGTTGATGACGTTCGCAGATGGCCGTACCTGCTAGAGAGCGGGGTGACAGTCTCAGATGAGGCGTCTCTTCCAGTCGGGCTGCTCATCGGCGGCAACGCCGCAGTAGTGATGGAGCCGTTGAGGTTTGTGAAGGGGGAAGATGGCGGACCATACGCCACTCTAACCAGGTTCGGGTGGATCCTCGGCGGTCTGAAGAACGTGAGCAGCAGATGTCGAGTGAACCGCATCAAAATCAACGAGAACGACCCAATGGCTGAAGAGTGGTTCGAAAACCGAGCTGAAGTAAGGAGAGGACTCTCGGTAGAGGACGTGAAGTGGTGCACTCTCATGGAACACAGTTGTGTCAAGAAGGAGAAGTATGAGATTGTGCTGCCATTTCGAGACCAGGAGCCTCGTCTGGAGAACAACCGAAGTGTGGCAGAAAGGCGCCTGGAGCTGCTGAGAAAGAAGTTTGAAAGGGACAAAGAGTACGCAGAGGAATACACCACTCGGATGAACAAGCTCCTGGAAGATGGACACGCTGAAGCGGCACCAGAAGCTCGAGAAGACTCAGGGAGATGGTACCTCCCCCACTTCGCGGTCAGGCATCCGACGAAGGAGACCCTCCGTGTTGTCTTCGATTGCGCGAGCAAATACCGTGGCACCAGCCTCAACGACACGCTGCTGCAGGGACCAGACCTGACCACACCGCTGGTGGACGTGCTGCTTCGCTTCCGTCAAAACCCTTGCGCCTTTACAGGTGACATTGAAGCAATGTTCCTGCAGGTCTCTGTTCCCGAGTCTCAGAGGGACTATCTGAGGTTCCTGTGGTGGCCCGAAGGTGTTCTCAGCAATCCTCCTTGTGAGTACAGGATGAAGGTTCACCTGTTCGGCGCAACATCTTCTCCGAGCTGTGCCAACTTCGCGCTCCATCGTACAGCTGAAGATAACGACTCCCTGTCAAGAGAAGCCAGTGAAACGATCCGGAACAACTTCTACGTAGACGATGTTCTGAAGTCCGTCAAGGATGAAGAGACAGCGATCAAGCTGATGAAGGACCTGAAGGTGATGTGCGCGCTGGGAGGCTTCAATCTGACGAAGTTTGACAGCAACAGCATCGAAGTCCTTCAGTCAGTACCTAAACAAGACAGAAGCAAGCAGGTTAAGGATCTGACGCTCGGATCTGACCCCCTACCTACGGAACGAGCTCTCGGCGTCGTTTTGGATCCAAACACGGACACCATCGGCTTCAACGTAGACATTCAGAAGCTGACGCGGAAGACAGCCACCAAACGAGGGTATCTGTCTGCAGCCGCGTCCTGCTATGATCCTCTCGGTCTGGCAGCTCCCTGTGTCGTCAGAGCGCGAGTGATCATTCAGAAGCTGCACCGTCTTGCGGTGGGATGGGACGACAAGGTGCCGGAGAGCCTGAGAAGAGAATGGGAGGGATGGTTGACTGACCTGCGCAACCTGTCTCTTTTGAAGATACCAAGGTGTCTGTCTCCGTTGGGACTGGACGCGGCACTTGATGCTGGGGACACGATTCAACTTCATCACTTCGCTGATGCCAGTTCGTCAGCGTACGGTGTCGTCTCGTACGTGCGCTGTGTTGGTGACCACTCCAGCTGCACGCTTCTCTTCAGCCGGGCTCGACTTGCGCCGATGAAGCAGCTCAGCGTACCGCGTCTGGAGTTAGCGGCAGCGACGCTCGCCGTGAAGAGTAGCCTGGAACTGCAGAGAGCGCTGGAAGTGGACGCCGAAGTATATTTCTGGACGGACAGTACCACCGTCTTGAAATACATCAAGAACGAGAAGACGAGATTTCATGTGTTTGTCGCAAACCGCCTTGCGGTCATCCACGATGGTTCCGCGGCCGGGCAGTGGCACTACGTGCCGAGTGAGTCAAATCCAGCTGACCTCGTATCGCGCGGAATGAACGCATCCTTTCTGATTCACAGCGATCTCTGGAGATTTGGACCCAGCTTCCTGAACGGGAAGGATCAGGAGTGGCCTGCAAACCCTGCCGAAGACGCTGTGAGCGAGGCCGATCCGGAGGTGAAGGCTGTTGTCATGACCACGACATGCAAAGACATCTCTCCTATCGAGAAGCTGACCCAGTACTACTCATCTTGGAGACGTCTGGTCAGAGCCGTGGCACTGCTCCGCCGGCTGGTGCTGCGGTGGAAAAAGAGCGCGCCTCAGGATGTGAAGACTACGGCGCGTCTGACTGTATCGGACCTGGAGGCGGCAGAGAGCTGCATCCTCAAAGACTTACAAGCTAGACATTTCAGTCAGGAACTCTCCGACTTGAAGTCCGGCAAGCCTGTGAGCACTTCGAGCTCTCTGGTGCGCTTGGACCCATGGCTGGAGGAAGACACGCTTCGAGTTGGTGGACGACTCAGGAACAGTGCTCTGCCATTTGACTCGAAGTTTCCCAAGATTCTTCCGGGACGAGACCCTGTAGTGGACCTGCTCATCACTGCAGCTCATCAAAACGCCGGACATGAAGGCAGGCAACACGTCCTGTCTGATCTGAGAGCGTCGTACTGGATCGTGGGCGCCAACACCGCGGTGCGTCGCTGTCTCAACCGCTGCATCAGCTGCAAAAAGAGACAGAAGCAGACAGAGCATCAGAAGATGGCCGATCTTCCTGAAACGAGACTGGGCGTGGGCGACAAGGCTTTCACCCACACGGGAAGTCGATTACTTCGGCCCTTTTTTCGTCAAGCAAGGTCGCTCACAGGTGAAGAAGTACGGCGTAGTGTTTACGTGCTTGGCAATCCGCGCGGTTCACCTCGAAGTCGCTGATGATTTGTCCACAGATTCTTTTCTGTGTGCCCTGCGACGCTTTATGGCGCGGCGCGGCGGCGTCCGATCCCTTCGATCGGATCAAGGGACGAACTTCATCGGAGCGGAAAAGGAATTAAAAGAAGAAGTCAACAAACTGAAGCAGCACGAAGGTGAAATCCACGAATTAGCTCTCCGTCTCGGCATCGACTGGCGCTTCCATCCTCCCCACGCCTCTCACTTTGGCGGTGTTTGGGAGCGTCAGATACGCACCATCAGGAAGCTGCTCAACGCTCTGCTGACACAACAGACGTTCTCACTTCAGACTTTGCAGACACTCCTGTGCGAGGTGGAAGCGATCATCAATAACCGCCCGCTGACACCCGTATCAGCTGATGCGCATGACCAACCCCCACTAACTCCAAATCATCTCCTCCTCCTTCGCAGTGTCGTATTCCCTCCTTCAAGCACAGAGTGGGATCATCACAGGAGCTGGAAGCAGGCCGGCTACCTCGCCGATCTGTTTTGGCGTCGATGGAGGACGGAGTATCTCCCTCTGCTGCAAGAGCGGAGCGGACGCGCAACAAGAAGTCGAGACAACGTGAAGAAAGGAGACATCGTCCTGATGGTCGACGACTCTGTACCGCGTGGAGTGTGGCCGCTGGGCCGGGTCGAAGAGGCCATCGTGAGCGCTGACGGCCGAGTGCGCTCTGTCCGAGTTCGCGCACGCGGTACGTCGTACTACAGACCGGTCACTAAAATCGTCAAGATCCTCGACGAGAGTAACCCAAGACGAGAGTGAAAGGAAAACGAAGGAACAAGACTGCAGAGTTGAGAGTCAAGTTGTGACTCAAGAAGAGTTGCGTGTTACGAAGAAGTTTATTTGTTTTGATGCTCACTTGTAAGCATCAAAAAGGGGAGGGTGTAAGTGCCTTTCCTGACGCCTTCCTACCTACCTGCTTCCTTTTCGCGATCGGCGCGACATCTGCAGAGTAGTGTCTTTGATCGTCGCTAGATGGCACTGCTGTTGTGTTCGCCAGCTGACCGATAGTGGTGGGGTGGTGGTCAAATTCGAAGTAGATATTCGATGTGAGAACTATTTGAGTTGTTCGATCAGCTGTTTCGGTTTTTGGGACACGTATGACGTGGAAGAATGGCGGTCAGACCAGATTTTGTTGCTCTGTTCCGATGTGGCGAGTGAGGACACAAATCTTGGTAAGAAGATGTATCTTGAATGTAATATGCAGGTATTGATATGCCAAACTCGTTGAGCGCAATATGTTTTGTGTCTTTCGTGGTGGCTTGTGATAATTGCCATGCTGGTGAACATTTGTGTATTTGAGACAAATGTAGCGCGGAGGTAT